AAATATAGGTGTTTATGAACGCATTGCTCGAGAACTATCTGACGTTGGTTTCAGACGAACTGCTTATCAGTGTCGAGAAAAAATCAAAAGACTTCGAAAAGAGTATCAGTTATCAAAATACTGCTTTGAACACAATATCGCTCCCAAGAAACCTATGAAACATTTTGAATTAGTGGATAAAATTTTCAATCAGGACTCTTCTGCCCAAAACAGCAATGTTGACGTTAACTTATTGAGCTCCGATCAAGAAGATGAATTGCATTTTTCATTTAATCATGATCAAGAATCAGATGCATCGAACAGTTGCACTGGTAATGATTCTGTAATACCACAAACTATACTTCCTGGCCCTTCATATTCTCCATTACTTGAGAGAGAAAATTCACCTGTGAGTCTAAAATTAAAGCCTCCACTTACTCCATCTAGTGCACATAATGATAGTAATGATACTCTCTTAAATGGAGAGCAAAATTATGATTGTTCTGACAAAGGTAAAATTTTCAAATACTATGTGGTTTTTTTATTTTTCTTAATGCAGATTTATCCTGTCATTCTAAAATTAAATTTAATGTATATAGTGTATGCATTGTTGTTCATATAAAGTGATTTAATATAAGAGTAGTGATTTAATTACTTTCTCTACCCTTATCAAAATAATTTGAAAAACAAATTAAAATTCTGCTGATCTAAAGCTAATCAGCAGAGGTAATAATGTTGGTGATTTAAACAGGAGAAAAGTAATGAGAATTAGTGATTTACATTGATATATGCCCTCATAAAGGTACTGTTACCTTTATATGGTACATTATTCTAATTGTTTGAAAATAATCAATTTCTTAACTTATTTTAATAACTTCAGACAGATAGAAATATATTTCACAGAGAAAACCTTTTTATTTAACAACAAATCTATTTTTTTAGCATTCTAAATATATATATATAAACATTGCGTGCATTATCACACTCAAATCATAGGTAAAACAAAACATCACTGTTCCCACAAAAGATCTACATTATAATGAACATATTAAATTATAGTGTATTAATTGAGTTTGTGCATGTTCCGTAACATCCTTCTTCCTTGCAATTTTAGGAAATTGCAAGGTAGTTCAGAAATTCAGTCGATGAGAAACTTTTACTTGTGTACCAACCCTAGTGGTTTGAGTATGTTTGAGTTTCACCCTAGGAATGTATCCACAAATTTTGTCTTTATTTAAAACTGGTAATTTGTATTTGAATTTATTTTCCATACCTTGTATTTCGATATAAAAAATACCATGGATCTGAAATTCAGTTTCAAATCTGCCAAACAGATTGTGGCTCAAAGTGTCTTGATCTAATGGGACTAAATCTAGTCTCTATTATCTCTTTCCGTAAGTAAGATCTTTGTGACCCACTGTCAAAAAGTGTTCTCATAAGTTCTGTTTTTCCATTATGGACAATCTTCACCATAGTAGTTTGAAGAAAAGTTGTTGGCAGTTTTTGGTTAGATAATAAAATCTCACTCGTTTCCTTAGCTACTTTAGGTGCTTCCTTTTTGGAACTCCTAGAACCTTTTAGTTCTCTGCACATCATCGTTACATGACGTTTGTTGCAAAATAGGCATTTCACATAACTTTTACACTTTTCAGCAACATGCCCATTTTTAGGCAGTTAAAACAAGCTTTCTTCTTCCTTAGTGAATTTTTCTTTTCTTCCAATGAAAGGCTGTGCAGCTTAATGCACTCATAGGAATTATGTTCTTGTCACACCAAACAGAAAAATTAAGCTGTTTTCTTTGAATCTCCTGCATAAATACAAGCTGCTGTGGCTGGATCTGAGTCAACTTTGAAGCAGAAAAACTTTTACGGGCCAACTGAAGATGCTCTTCACTTTCAACTTCAATTCAGAGAAAATGCAATAAATTTTTGAAACTTTCAGTGTGCAACACTTTCCTTACACTGGCAAGATTTGCTCCCATGCCCTGAGAATTTCTTCAGGTAGTGAAGACTACAAGGAGATACAGCATAGCTGCATAAATCTCACTCTTTACCCCCAACGTCTACAAAGCTCTGAGTTGCATCTCTAACTAATCATATAAGTTGGATAGAGTCATATTTCCTTCTTTGCCAGCTTGAGCCAAAACCAACATTAATAATTCATGAACATAGATTTCTGCCAGTAATTCATCGCATACAAGTCGAGATTTTAGCTGCTTGATAGCTTCTTTATAATTCGCACCTGAGGGAGGATAACTAACTATCTGCGAGCTCTCTCGGTGGGAATCCAACAACAGTTGCCTGTAATAGGTGTTGAAATTTATCATCGTCATCTGTGTTTACGTCTTCATCGATCTTCTTAAACTGTCCCCAAAATCCTAACCAATTTCGGATCTCCCCATTAAATTTATGAAGCTCCAACTTTGGTCATTTAAAGTTCCTCTTCATGGAATTTTCTAAAGTTCCAGGTTTAATTACAGGAGTAGAATTCATTTTCTACTTTTGTTCTTAAACTGATATATTTATCACAGTATGTTTCATTCATGTCAAAATCAGCCAAATATTCACTTTCGTTTCCACTTTCCAACAAAAGTTCAGAAATTTGTGATTGAACTTCATCTAATCTGTTAGATTTACCTTCTAATTATGAGCTCAATACTTAGAGTTGATTAATCTCCATGTCAGGCTTTAGAATTTCCACATTTAAAGCATCGGCAGTAATCAATCGGCAATCGTTTGATTGCCTTAGAGGCTTATGCTTTCATAATAAAATTTCCATCATTTTAAATTCAATATGTCCAAGGATATAATCAAATAAATCATAAACTCGCTTGATAAATTCCAATATGAAATCGATGTTTTGTTTTCTTCAAATAGCCATTCCGTCTTGCCACGGACACCAGTTGTTTGAAATTAATCTATTTCTTAACTGATTTTTATAACTTCGGATGAATGGAAATATATTTTGCAGAGAAAACCTTTTTAATTAACAACGAGCCTATTTTTTTAGCATTCTAAACATATAAAAAAAAAAACAGAAAACATCACGTGCATTATCATACTCAAAGCATATGTAAAACAAAACATCACTGTTGCCACAAAAGACCTACATTATAATGAACATATTAAATTATAGTGTATTAATTAAGTTCATGCATGTTCCTTAACACTAATGTTTATTGTCTTATTAACTCTTTTGCATCGAAGTCGCCCAAAACGTCCAACTGTTTTAGACATTGACAAGGCGCCCGAACTCCTGAATCATTTTCTATCTAGTGCATTGCTTTCAGGAGTTGTTAAATGACATGCCAGTCATTCTTTTGAAGTGACTAAAAGTAGTTCTGTTATTTTAATGCACATCTTTTTTCCTTTGTTTGCTGTCAGTGTTAAGGTGTTTATGCCTGAAGTTGAAATTATGTCCCATGGGTGAACTGCATACAGTGGTGAAAGCGCCCAAGAAAGACATTGTCACTTTACTTAAGTAGGTTATTGTTAGCACTGTAGCATTCTACTTGTCTTGGAGGAAGATAAACCATTCCAAGAGAAATTCCTACACATGGTCATTTTCAATGTTTGAGGGAAACAAATTTGGGTCCCTTTCAATATGAAAGGGACCCAAATTTAATAGTTAAGCATTTAACAAATTTAACCTAGTTGTTGGCAGTGTTATGCAAAAATCCCATTTTTCTCCAGAACATAAGTATTTGGTAGATACTATTTTTATTCTATTAAAGTGTTTTTTCTCAATTATAGACAGGGCTTTTCATATTTGATTAAACTAACCTAAAGGCAAGAGCTGTATATTTGGCAAGAAAATATATTGACAGGAAATGTCTGTCTATTAACTGATGTAAACAAATAAATCTCTAAGAAAAGAATCACTTTACAAATGAGATTTGAAGATATTTAAAATTCAATTTGCATTACTTTACAATCAATTAGTTATGAACATAAGCTATTTTGGTAAAAATATATTTACGGGTGCCCCTTGGCAAAAATTTGCAATGTTTGGCTGTTACATGGATACCGAGTTTGTGCAATTCTTTGACTTGTTATTTTGTCTTTTTGTAGCAGCGAACAAAATCACCACTACACAAAGACAAAATAACAAGTCAAATTTAAAGAAAATGTGATAAATTGGATTAATAAAAACTATTTTGAATTTTCAAAAGTGTGTTCCTTCTATTAATTATAAGATAGTGCCATAAATTTTTGAATATGTTTATTCTTTATGCAAATAAATAGGTTTTCAAAAATTTGTCATATTAATAGTTAATGCAGGATTTAGCATTAAAGAATTGCACAAACTCAGTATCCATGTACACATCGACCTATTTTCAATTCAAAAAACATCAGAGAATTGCACAAACTTGGCATTGTGCACTTCCTTGACTTTGTCCGTGTATGCATCGATCTATATTCAAAGTCAAAAGGAACAACCAACAAAAAATATATAATCTTAATAAATGACATTTTAAATCAAGCAATCAAATAAAATAGAAAAGGAAATTCATCTTAGCGCTACACAAAGGAAATATCTATTTAACTTATTCAGAAATTTCTGTTTTTCAGTCAAACAAAATTCCTTAACAGCATCCAAAAACTTCCTAAAATTATCTGAACTTAGAATCTGTATATTGCCGACACCACATAAATTCACAATAACAAGAGTAAAAAATATCCTCCCTAGGGGCGATATCCTCTGACGTTCACCATATGCATTTTCTTCCTACAAACAGGACACTACTAGATAAACCTTCATTTACACACCAGTCAATTAATACACTTTTCCCCTTTTATTGCAAATTGTACAGAAATTCAAATTAATCTTACAACATTCAGCCCATTCTACCATCTAAGCCACAAAACAAGCAGTGTACACTGCATTAAAAAAAGGGGGGGAACAGTTATTGATGAAATTCAAACTGCATTTTTCATGTCTCGAATGTGCGACTTACGATATATATTAGATTTATACAGTCAAAAGTCTTTAATCCGGACTCGTCGGGACTTCGATTCCGGATTATCGATTTTTCCGGATTATAGATCATCAGTTTAAATCTGGTAAGATGGCATGCAGAAATTATAAAATTAAAAATATGAAACCGTAATTTATAAAATAATGAGCAATTATGATCTAAAGGGTATCAAAATTTACCAAAAAAGAAGCCTAATATTTATTTGTTTACTTTATTAAACATTTCTTTCAACGCGCGGATGCGTAAAGCATACCTTACGCATAGCCGAAATTAGAAAATTGCAACCAGAAAACTATTTGATTTGTATTCGTGATATTTATGATGACGAGGAATTTGATTTAAATCATATCAAAGACGGAGTACATCGAAATTAAATACTACATTTAGTAAGGAATTATAAGCCGAATAAAATAAAAACATCTGCCCTGAAGATAACGATAGTGTTGACAAATCAACTTCCAGTTCATTGCGCGACGCGACGTCCCCCCCCCCCCCCGCTCAGAGCAGCATGAAATTGAGAAACAGATTTCGGAA